AATCTGATTAGACCGTTAGCATCTCGCTCAAAAATGACCAAAGAGTTTCTATATTTTTCCTATTTAAAACTTGGCTCTTCTGTACTTACATCGTGTACTAAGACCGACAGAAAATGAAAAGTTGCGATTTTCTAGGCTGATATGGCTAGGAACTATACTCTCATTCCGACGTAATAATCAAGGAACTTTGCTGCCTTACCATGGGTGCAGCAGGCGCTATGATATTACGCAGCGCCTGAAAATAGGCTAACTTCCGCCAACGTGACCACCTGCTTGCACAAGGAGCGTGCCTTCCGTTGGAAGTTACCTAGTCCCAAATGGCACCCTAAACCCTCGCGGTCTTTCTCTGAGTCCGCACTTTCGTGACGTAATGCCGCTTTGACTGTCGGGTAGAAGTCTGCTGTGGAGCTCGCCCCGGTGCGGGCTCAGCAGAAGTGCGCATCGAGGGCGCATAGCGGCCGCAAAGGGGGTGCTTGCGAGCACCTTTCTGAAAGCCAAAATGACGAATGGGACACCCTACGGTCTCGTGGTCTTAACGGACACACGTACGCGGCGGCCATTGTAAGTCCACAAGATCGCAAGTTCACATGAAGTGTGCCATTTGGGACCGGGCCACTGTCTTTATGAATGGGTCACTGAATCATTGACTTACTCGTTTTGTTCAAAAAGGTAGATTCATTCAATAACGAAACACCACTGTGTTGACCGGAGACACACAACAGTTCTGTTGTTGTACAAAATCAGTGTCACATTGCAATCGTGCTGATATTCGGGGAAACCAGGTCCCTAGGGGGCGATAACGCTAAAATGACGACTGGGACACCCTACGGTCTCGTGGACTTAACGGACACACGCACGCGGCGGCCATTGTAAGTCCGTAAGACCGCAAGTGCACATGAAGTGTTCCATTTGGGACAGGGCCCTAGCTGGGGACTATTTTCAGACGCTGCGTAATATCATTGTGCCTGCTGCACCCATGGTACGGCAGCAAAGTTCCTTGATTATTACGCTGGAATGAGAGTATAGTTCCTAGCTATATCGGCCTAGAAAATCGCAACTTTTCATTTTCCATCGGTCTTAGTACACAATGTAACTACAGAAGAGTCCAGTTTTTAAATAGGAAAAATATCGCAACTCTTTGGTCATTTTTGAGCGAGATGCTAATGGTCTAATCAGATTCAATGATCGATGCCTGATTCTGCGATTGGAATTTATTTTCGATTCCCAACCCTATTCTTGCTATTCAAACGTTTTAATATTCCTCTTCCTTTAATCAGTTTAATCGAACAGAAGTTATTTTCTGTCATAAAAAATGTTAACATTTCAGTATCTATCTATCTATCTATCTATAAAAAATATAGGTCCGTATGAGATCACCGTTTAATAAAGTGTTTTTTCCCCTTTAAAGCAATGATTGCACCACTACCACCTAAAAAAAATAGGCACATGATGCTCATATAAAAAAATTGTCAGTTTCTATCAGAATTACTATGATGTTTTATTATTTATTTACAGTAAGTTTGATTTGATTGTTTAAATTATTTCTCACACGTTTCAAAGCTGAAATTTTGGGGCATCTCTGTCCTTTTCCATTTAATTTACCCTTACTTTCTCTTATTCAGTCTATCTCAGCATTCTCTATATGTAAAATTGTGGAAATGGCCAATATCTTTAAAAAAAATACTGTTTCACACTCAGTATAACTTATTTAACAACCTGCTCTGTTGATCAGGTCTGCCTTCACTCTTTGTTGTGCCGGTCGCCACATTCACGCAGATAAGTAATAGACATTGCCAGGCAGAAGCTTTTTTAGGGACTGAAGTTAACAAATTACAGTCAAGCCAGCAGTTAATTCCTGCCAAGCGCAAAGAGCCCAGAATCACCCAATGGTTTGTCAGGAGAGAAAGTGAGAGAGAGAAAAGTAAGTAGCCTAGTATGTGTGCATTCAACAGACAAAACGGCTCAATTTAGATGCTTGACTTTATTTGTGAGAAATCTTCATCATTTTGATTGGTGATGTCAGACTTTTATTGGCTGTTGAAAATTAAAAGCAAGTGTGTCATTGGACTCCCAATCAGACCACATTTAATGTGTCAAAGCTGTTCTTTTGAAAGAAATTCTTGTTTCTAACTAATATAACAAACCACAGATTCACTGAGGTCATGTGAGTTCACTGGCTCTCACGGTTAGTGCAGTAAATTGAACAGCTTCCTCCTCCCAACTTTGGTATGTCAGTTAGAGAAGTGCCATAATTTAACTCAGCATACAGCTTCTCATGATGAAGGCATTTCTGATTAAAAATCGCACTTGAAGATCTAGAGAAAAATATTTATGACGTTTTTATCTTTTCTTCTCAAGCAGTATTTTCCAGCATTTTTTGTCATATGTACCCCCACAGCTTCACAATCCAGAAATACTGTGGGTAAATAACAGACTCGCTAATGCTGCGTTCCATTTACCTCAAAAGTCGGGTGTTGGAGCTGGGAATGACGTCACACCAGAGTTGACCGCATTCCAGTACACAAGTCAAAAAACCAAGATGGACATGTCAATTGTTTGCAATACCAGTCAATAAAAACACATAAAAAGCAATATTTTTCAGAGATAATTCTGAAGTATTGTGTTCACAGAAAGAAGCTGGATTGTACTGTGTGTACTGTGTGAATTTATGAGACATATAGGCCTAGACAAAGAGAAGTGCTAATAAACTATATATTACTACTGTTTCACCTAATGTTAATGCACTGAGCAACTATGTTGGATTCCAAAGTCAGGGTTTATGCAGTTCCTCCGAGTTTTTGAATTGGAACTCTTGACTTGAGGGGGCATTCCGGTTAAAAGTTTCTATAGGAACTCCTATAGAATTTCTATAAGAATTTCCTAGTTCAAAGCTCAAATGGAATGCACCATAAGTACCACATGCTCTCCTATGATTGTTATCAATGCACATTTGTAGACCTTAAATGCATTACGCACATTATGTGTTTATTCCATAAAAAGGAAAAGATGCCAATGGTGGTGCTTCGTTTCTAAATGAAACACTAAATCAGTTGAATTAATGAGTCATTAACTCACTAGTCACTTTCTGTCAGCTACTGCATAATGATGTAACCTGCAGAAAGAGAGTCACTGACAAATCCCCAGCACTAATGCACAGACTG